AGTCTTTTCTAGGGGTACCATTTTTCCTGTCCAAGCTTATTTAATGAATTTACTATTTTCTTTAATCATTCTGTTGAAGCATGATTGAAAAACAATCTCTGGCCTTCACTTGTTAATTTTCACAGATTATTATTAATTTAGTCAGATTCAAGTTATTTCTGTGTGTTTTTCTTTTTAATCCAACAATTTGTCCACGTGTGTATTATTTGATTAATCATTAACTGGGTTATACAGACTAAAAAGGCCATTTGCTGACAGAAAACCAACTGAGAGCAGAAATTAAACCAAAACATAACATTTTATGTAAACATTTTGCATTTAAGATGTAAGAACCGTATTTGTCTGTAAATATGCAGAATTTCTGAAGAAGAACATTTTAATCTTCAACCGGTTCAAATTAAAAAAAAATTTTTTCCCCAAAACATTTTTTGTTTTATGGTTACTATTTAAAAAAACTGACTGATTAATTAAGAATAATAATCTTCAGCTGCAGCCCTAATTTATATACAATGAAATTCATACTTTTGACCACAATATCTACATCTCATATTTTTGAGATCTGTGGTCATATTAGATCTGCAGCCCTGCTGAAACGGTTTAAAGTAAAGAAGCGGTTTGTGTTAATAAAAATTCAAATCCAAATAAGACATACAGTACTTTACTGCTCCAGATATTTCATCTTACAACCCTCAGTCCTTCATACTCCTTAGTGGATGTAAAACCATTTTCAGTCTTTCTCATTACATCAGATGTTTTCTTTCCTAGGGGCATTCTGTAAAATCAATGTGTTATGATATTACCCCCTGTAGATGTTTATATCATGTTGTCTGCATGTCAGTCTGACCTTGTGGATTGCTTAAAGCCTCACCACCCATTTATTGCAATTAGAAAGATGCAGCGCAAGCAGTGCCTGATGTTCTTCAGGGTTCGCATTTTTGACATTGACACAAGGTTTTCACTCTTTAGGTGAATCTATAGTTTAGCTCTACTCAAACATGCAGTCTGCACATACATAAACATTGTAACTCTAGCTTGCTCGCAAGTCCTAGCACAGTAAGCTTTTTTCTCATTCATGAATGGGGGAAAAAAACTTTTTAAAGGTCCAAAGTCTTGTCAATCACAGCCTCTTATACTGAAAAAGTACACACAACCTCCTCTATAGCTCATTCCCATTCTGATATCTGAAGGGACCAGCTGCACTGCGGCTCCACAGCTCAGCAACACCATCTCCATTATAGCCTCTGTGCAAAATGGGTCTATTAACAGCACAACCGCTCTTCTAATGTCTGAATAATTCTTCACATAGCTCCCCTATGCTCCAATTCACAAAGCTTGACCAAAAAAAAAGGAATTAACTGGTTCTTTTAGGGTCTATTGCATAAATGAGCAAATTAAGAATAACACATACAAGTAAAGCATAAAAATGTTTTAAAATCACCTGTGTAATTTAAAATGTTTAGAAGAAAATTTAAAATTAGTAAATATTGAAAAAATTGTAGAAGAATATGTGAATCACTGTAAGTTAATAATGTATTAAAGGTGAAAGTTTTCATACAGAGCCACATAGGTTTAATTGGAGTTTAATTGGAATATTGTAATACTCTATTTTCACTATCTTATCCTGCCCTTACATTTTGAGAATCTTAAACATTTAATTGTTGAAAAGAAGGCAAAAAAAAGAAACATCCTCCTGGTAGCTTATTACTTTTCATCGCACTGTGTATGAAAGTTAACATGCTATAAGAATGTGTTTTTAAACAGCATTGAAGACATTTGCTATGACTGTAAATGTGCTGCAGTACAGTGACGTATTCATCCAGTGTGGGTAAATTAGCATAGCCTCTTAGCTCCTCTGACACGGTTATGACAGGTCAGATTAGGAAGATCCAGCCTCCAGCATCTTCTCTGGTCACAACATTTGCGCGTCTCAGTCACATATGGACTGAACTCTCACAGCTTTGTGAATATTTAGCTGTTTTAATCCGCAATGCAGATACACAGCATTTTCTTTTTTGTTGTAAATGATCAAAAATGACTAAAACCAGAGTTCTGTGTAAGGATTGGGGTTAGAACTTGATTATTTAATGCATATGCTTCATTAATTATTAACTCAATTACCAGGCACTTCAGGCAGTTATATATTTAAATCCTTGACCTTTTATGCATTGTTTTTTTTAAATGTGTGAGCATAAGGTTTACTGTTGGTAGAGAGGATTGTTTTTTATTCAGTCAAGGCAAATGGACAAACATGCGACTCTTATAAAAAGATACATAGCCACCTTAAATAATCCAATACATCAGTGAGCTTTAATAGGTTAAAACAAATCGTTGGAACTAAAAGGCCGAAACATTTGCATTAAATCAAAAACGTGGCAAAAGCCTCTTGATAGTAAATAATAATAATAAAAAAAGAAAAGGGCAGCTTATAAAAACACAAAGACAACCCATAAGTTGGAACATTTTCTAGAGTTTCACTTCTCAGTTGAGCGCATCTTTTTACAGTTGTGTCTTGTTTTTTATGCATAGCTAAATAAAATAAGGAAAATCTTCTTAAGTATGCATTTTTATGCTACTTCTTCACATAAATGTAGACATTTTGATAGATCTTAAACTCTTATAGACAGGCAATGGAAAAATCAACAGAAAAGCTGCACCCTCCTCTAACCCGCAGGGTTTAAAAGTGTGTGGGGGGGGGAAGTAGCTGCTTATAGTCTGGGAAATACGGTAATACGATCATTTACAACAGCCTTCTAGTTAAGGGTCTTGAACAGGTGGGTGAATATCCTGTCTGGAATTAATACGCTTGGACATGAATTACCATAACATGATACGTTTTTACAGACACATTGAGCCTGAAATCAGTTGGAGCCCTAGGGTGGGGGGGATGCTGAGAAGCAACGAAAGGTGAATCAGCCTCCACCTTTGTTTCCGAGTGGCCCTGCTGGCTTTGTTTGGGAGCAGAATGAATTATTAACGGTAGCCTTCTGGTCATGTTTTTCATCAGTCTGTCCACCACCAAAGGTAAGGATCGCTGTGCTGAGAGATCTCCTTAGACCGGCTCTTTTCATAGATACACTAGACCTGTTTTACCTACGTTTGTTCAGTTTTTCACACAATCGCCTTTAACTTTTAGTTTTTCTCCCTTTCTCGCTTCTTTTCTTTCATTTTTTTAATGCAGTAGGTTATCTAATTTTAGCTCCATAAACATGAATTAACATTCAATCTCATTACTCTCTCTCAGTGAAGGTCTAACGCTGCTGTGCTGTTTTCTAATGCATACTTCTAAATGAATGCCTGAAGTTACTTGTTTAATAAAGAAGAGCAGCGCTTAAAATAGATAGGAAATGTTTTTTTCAATGTTGCAAAGGGCATATTCTTATATTTTATGCTGATTTATATTTCTTAGTAATATATTTACTATACATAAACAGGAACTGTTGTATCTGGTTGAAGCTTTAGCAAATAAAAGGAATTTCCTCCATCAAATTTTATTTTTTTTCCACTTGTAGCACTAGCAATTTAGCGAGCAACACAAGCACAGGATTTTTGAGCACCACTCAAATGAATGTTAATACTTTGATATTTTGTAAGCCTCATTGCATCCAAAATAAAAACCAAAATGAATGAAGTAAAGGCTTAAGAGGATAAATTTATCATTATGTTTTCATCTGCCTTTGTTTTTTATTTATATTATATCTATACACTGTTTACCTCGATTCACTTGACCACTAAATGGACACAGAAATATTAATGGATAGAAATTAACATTAAAACTGCAACATTTTTGTTGGCAATTAATTGAGAAAATAGGAACCAATTTTCTCAATAAGTGAACTTACTCACAGTGGGTAGAGTTGCCATTAATTTAATACTCCTTAATATTGTTTTTCAAGTAGAATAAAAACGAAAATATTCTTCTAGATGTAATCTATTGAGTTTTGTCAGAAGGAAGATGGCAGAAGTCAGGGCTACTGGTGCAGAGAAGCTGACGGACGTTCTGAGAGCAACACCTAGTCCAATGCTGTACTGATATAGTAATTCATGCAGACGTAGCCTCCAATAAGTGTGTTGGTTTTTTTTTTTTTTGGTTTTTTTCACACAGAACACTGATTTACTTTTTCGAAAGGTCAAAATTATTTGAAAAAAAAAAAGAAAACCCGAACTTTTTATTTTTTTATTTACCTTTTTTCAAGTAGTGATATTGTATTATAAATGATTAAGATCCAATTTTTTATTGTTACACTTAAATCCAAGATATTCCCAGTTAAGATATGATTTCCTGTCCGTAATGCTCTTTTTCTCCATCTGGACCTCTGCTTAGCCAATTTGCTTCCACTTTATCCTTTTTATCATCTGCTAGCCAGAGGATACTCCCAACTGGCCAAAGTGCCTGGCAACTGTAACCAAGGGCCAGACATAACTGTGCTAAGGTTTTGGTTAAATGTGGTGTAAAGGCAGTGACCTAAAGGACCTTCAGTCCAGCTGTGATTTTTCTTAGATGACAGGTGGATAAAACCGTGCAGATAGTTTAGGTTTACAGTTGGATGGGATTATACCTTTTTTTTTGGTACTATTTATTTCGTCGTTACATTAGAATGAAGTGATTGAAGATTAGAACCTGCTGGGCTGAACTGAAAAAGGATGGAAAAACAGGTGGAGCAAGAAAAGGGGAGGGAAAGGGGGGTGGGGGTTAGTTAATAGAAAATGGACTGAGAGTGATAAGTGATATGTAAATAGGAAATGTATCTAAATTTACCTCTGGGGAAACAGCCAGTCTGAGAGATGGGATAATGTTTCAGGGAGCCTCAGGTGCAGCCAGGAGGGGAGAAGGCGGGGTGATCTGGGAGGAGGGAGGGCTTTGTTTGGGTGTGTGTTTGTGTGTGTGTTTTGGGGGTTTGTGTGTGTGTGTGGAGATATAGAGAGAGAGAGAGACTTGAGTGAGCGAGCTAGAGAGATTGTGTTGGGAGGGAGGGAAGTGTAAGCCAGTCGCAGCATCTCTCCTCACTGCACCAGGGCTGAGGGACTCCTCGTCCCCTCTCTTCCCTCGCTGCAGTTTTAACTCATCTCCATCAGTGCAGTCATCCTTTTTATTTTGCTTGTTTCTTTGGATAAATGCTTTGCTTTCTCATTTTCTCTATTCCAGGATCCAAGGATTTATTTGTTTACAAAAAAAATCTAAAACATAGATTGCTTTGTTGGCTGTGGCAAAGGGGGCTTTTTGCAACAGACAGCGCTTTAAACTGGGACTCCAACTGGGACTTTATCTTGCTTTGCTGCTAGAGTGGATCCTCCCCCTCCCTTCCTTTTGTTGATCTTCCAGGGTTTTGGTCCGAGTGAAACATGTACCAAACGTGGATTAAAAGAAAAAGGATCATGCACATTTCAACTTGAATGCTCTCTTTAGAGGAGTAGTTAGTGAAGCTACGGTAGCATCAAGTACTTGAGCAAAAGGTAATATGCCAGTAACAAGTTTATTGGATACCTGGAGGGACTGCTGATTGATCCTGAAACCTCTCTCTGCACGTGTGGCCACAGGAATTGCTGAGGAGTGGAAGTGAGTGGAGCACTGAGTTCATCAGCTGGCCTCTCGTTGCTCCTAGAGTGTCCTTTGACCAACCTGCATTGGATTCTGACATTTAACACATTTATCTGTTCCTGGATGTTTACGCTTTTTATTTTGTTTTGGCAACTTGCAGTCCAGTAAAACTGAGAGGCAAGCTTGTACTTTTGGATTTAAACCCTTTTCTGAATGACAGAGATGTTTTGCCACGCATTGTCTGACCAAATACTAGAGATGCCTTATAAACAGATTGTCCCCACACAGCCACATGAGCTGAAAGAGCTGTGATAATATCTCCTGCGGACATCTCCCTGTTATTGTAGCCTGTCTGTGTTTTGATTTAGACAATAGCTGGGCATACATGGGCTCCAGACGCTGACAAGAGGACCACCAAAATAAGGGACTCCTGTTCAATCACCCACCACAAGCTGAAACTTTGTATTGCATATAAGGTTTCTAAATAATTCTTGATAAGATTTTTTTCTTTTTTTTTTTGGGTTTGGAAGAGTATCGACAGGAGGAAGCATTGCTTAGAGTTTCGTCCCTTAACCTTGTGTGGTTTCCTTCCGCACATCCTCTCTGCTCTCTGCCCCTGTGGTGAGGGCTTAAAATCTCCAGCCTCCTGGTGGCTGCTCTCATTAAAATCATGCAACGAGGCCGCGGACCCAGACACTGAACCAGCAGGGAAACTCGCCTCATTGAGCGATGCTGGTAGTGGGGAATAATAATACCCCACGTTAGGTGAAATAATTTTTCCTACCCCAAAGATGTCCATCAACTGCTCCCACCAGCCATGTATTGTTTAAAAGAAGAGGCAAATAAGTTGCCGTCGTGTCGCACAGACTGTACGGATTTTCTTCCTGTCGGTGTTCAGTTATAGAGATGCAGCTATGAGGGTCTGCTAAGCAAAAGCATGAGTGTGCCTAAGAGAATAATACGTTTTTTGAACTGAGAAGGGAAGAACCAGAGGTGCACAGCGGTTCTCCACTCTCAAGTCAACTTCCTTATGGGTGGCAAATCTCACAGCTGACCCAACTACAGCAAGAAAATGAACCACTCTGAACTGACAACCGATCCCATGCTCACTGCCAACAGCAGCAATGGAGATGTGCTTCGTGGTTGGGTCTCCAACCACTCCTGTCCTTTAGGATTGGGGTTTAAGGAAGGTGTGGAGGCTTGTATTTTGGAGACTGCAGTCATCGTGCTTTTGACAGCCCTTATTATTGTCGGTAACCTGACGGTGATTTTTGTGTTTCACTGTGCGCCTTTGCTGCATCACTACACTACAAGCTACTTCATCCAGACTATGGCCTATGCTGACTTGCTGGTTGGTCTCAGTTGCCTTGTTCCCACCTTGTCTCTGCTACACTACCCGGCAGGTGTCCAGGAACCAATCACGTGCCAGGTTTTCAGCTACGTCATCTCTGTTCTGAAGAGTGTCTCAATGGCTTGTTTGGCCTGCATCAGTGTGGATCGCTACCTAGCCATAACTAAACCGCTATCATACAACCAACTAGTGACACCATGCCGGCTGCGAGGTTGCATCGCCCTCATTTGGGTCTATTCCAGCCTGGTTTTCTTGCCCTCTTTCTTTGGTTGGGGTAAGCCAGGATATCATGGGGATATATTTGCATGGTGTGCTCATTCTTGGCCCACCTCGGCCATATTCACAGGCTTTGTGGTGTGCTTTCTTTATGCACCCGCTGCTCTTGTTGTGTGTTTTACCTATTACCACATCTTTCGTATCTGCCAACAACACAACAGAGAGATCAGCGAACGGAGAGCACGATTCCCCAGCCAGGAGATGGAGCCCGGAGAGGGGAACGGAAGTGGGCACCATGGAGGTCATGGACCAGATCGACGCTATGCGATGGTGTTATTCCGAATCACAAGTGTTTTCTACATGCTTTGGCTTCCTTACATTATATATTTTCTTCTAGAGAGTTCCCATGTGTTAGATATCCCCGCCCTGTCCTTCATCACCACGTGGCTGGCTATTAGCAATAGCTTCTGCAACTGTGTCATTTATAGTCTGTCGAACAGTGTGTTTCGCTTGGGCATGCGCAGACTTTCACAGACTATGTGCTCTTTCAGCCACTGTGGTGCAGATGAAAAGGATTTTGGGGAGCCTAAACCAAGAAAAAGAGCAAACTCATGCTCCATCTGAGGGACCGGCCGCTTTATTAATGGGGTTAAGATTCCTGTTGGATTGTTAATTTTCAGTTGAAGAGCTGAAAAGAGGCTTGTGTTTTGTCAAGGGTTCAGGTGAATCTAATAATGTGGCTTGCTCAGAGAAAAAATGGTGACTGGGCTTTTCAAGGAGACGAATACAGTGTCTAGACAGAGAATATTAATGAGAGATGGGCTTTCTGTGATGGATTTTATTATAGTGCATCAAAGAGGCTTACACGCGCCTTTACATTAAAACAAATACTTTATTTCTGCCAGATCAGGCCAAGTGGGAAAACAAAATTTCAGAATGAAAGATTATACATCATCTGATATCTAATGTGACCTTAATACCTGTCAAACTCTCATTTGTACTTGTGAGGTTTTCATCATTTGTCTTTGTCATCCATTTATTAATGCCCAAAATACAGTATAAAGTTCTTTATTGATATTTTACATTATAAAAACACTAAAAGTAACCATGACAACAGCTGCTAATGAATATTACAGTAAACGACAATGACTGTTTATGCTTCTTTATTTATTCGTTGAGGAAAATAGCATTTTTTACTCAAATTTGTTTTATGTAGAAGAGGAATTAAAGATATTGGTGTCAGTTGTTTTTTTCTTTCACCTAGCACTGGTCTGACTGTTGAGATTAGCGCCTTAAAAAGATTATTAATTCTAAATATATCTGATTAATTTCCATAATTTTTTTATCGGATAAAAAAGAAGAATACATTTTTCTAAATACAAGGACTCGAGGCTGTTTAACTTTTTTTTGGGTGTTTGAGTGATGATGACTGTGTCAAAGATGGTAGCAGATTTTAAAAATGGACATTATCTGTTGAACTGTGCTTTGAGTAGTCCTCTTAATAGCACTTTATGGTGGTTTTACAGACACTCTTTTAATGCAATAAAATGTAAAAGATGTATGAAACATGAAAAATAATAAGCTCCCATATTTTTATCTGCAAGGTTTGTGAACGGTAAAACAAACTAAAACTGATTTGATTTCGCTCATGCCTAGTTAAAAATATTAATAGTTTAGCAAAAAGCAGATAACTAATAATACAATTAGAGTGCTTTACCAAACTCCAATCTTTTTAATCTGATACTTGTAATTTCTTAAAGACTAAAGTTTATCTTTGCTTTCACTTCATTTACCTTGATGACTGTGTTGTCACAGTTGGTTCATTATTACAGACTGTGGTGCGTAGCGAAAATATTTCTGTCCTTCAACCTTTCTTCCTATTTCATAGTGTGACAACCATTGAACGAATGAACTAACAGATACAAAGGGGGGCATAATGGTGAACTGGAGGAAATATGAAGTGTTGAGTGCATTTGCACTCAGGCCTCCTGAGTCAATACTTTGTAGAGTAAAACATTTGCTGCAATTAGAGCTGCATATCATTTAAGGTTTGTCTCTATCAGTCTTATACAGTTAGAGACTAAAGATTGTGCCTGTTGTTCTTTGCAGAATAGCTCACACCCAGTCTTCTGACTGGAGATTGTCTCTAAATTTAATTCATGCCATAATCTTTATTGAGTTAAGGTCTGGTCTTGCTGGGCCTTAATGCCATTTAAAAAAATACTTAGTTCTATCAGTTTTCCAGTTTAGGGTCTATGACCTTCTAGTCGGTGAACTGCCCCAAGTCTAAAATCTTTTCCCTCCTCAACTTGGTTGTATTGCTGTATTTACCTCCCTCCATCTGCCCCTAAACTGTAAAGAGCTTTACTGTCCTTACTGAAGAAAGGCCTCCCCTCAGCATGATGCCCCCCCCTACCATCTGTCATCCATGGTTGGTATGGTGAATTTAGGGTGTGTCCTGCCAGACGGTGGGTTTTGCTTGTGGTCTAGGATGTTCAATCCTGGTTTCTTATGCTGAAGCCTCATTCTTCCTGTGTTTGCCCTTTTTTCTACTTAGTTGTTTATAGTCTCTAATCTGTTTGTTGCTTTTTACCATAAAGAACTGTCTTATTTCCTCTTATATAAAGCCCAGACTGTAAACAGATTTTTCCAACCTGAGCTGGACGTCTGTACAGCTCCTCCAGAGCTCTAATGAGCCTCTTAGCTGATCACTGACAAACCTCTGACTTTAACTGTATTCTTACAGTGTTTAAAATTTAGCGCAGCCCATTTAGTAATAGCTAAGTGATGTCTAAAGCCAAATAGCTGGATTAAATTTAGAGGTATTCTGCCAATACTTTTAAAGATGTGGTATGTCTCCCTGTCCTTTGATGTTACAATCATTCTCTAGCTTGTGTTGGTATGTAAACTAATATCCCTCCCAAAAGATTATTATCTTAGTTTAAACATGTCAAAATGGTTAAAGAGTCAGTGGATTTAAAGTCATGGATTGGGGCTGCAAACGGAGATTTAAGCAAGTGAAAACTTAAAATAAATTTTGATTCTCATCATGAATGAACAACAGTATTCAATTTTCAGCCCCGATCAGCTGATTCCTGGAAAAGAATAATCGAGGAATTCAATAAAAGACACTCCTTAGTTATAACATTTTGACCACTGTGTTCACACAGCGGTTCTTTTTGTAAGTTTTTTGTTATATCAGGCAGACACAAGAGCACATCACTCCCGTTAAGATTATGGCTCACCTATTGCTGCTCTGTGCAGCTCAAGCAGCGTGGTTTGAAGCTGCAGCAGGTGGTTTCTGACCTCTAGGAGGCAAAACACCTTCTGCATACAAGAAGTCAGCTTCAATCTTTCTTCCTCACTTTGGAAATAAGTGTGACTTTGTTTTTAGCCAAGATTTGGTAAACGTTAATTTTTAAGGACAACATTCCTGATTCATGTAGCTTAAATATGTGCTCTGCTACCCTCATCTGTCTAACATTTAGATGTTTTATCCTGAGTTGCTACAAAAATTCTTTCATGCAGCTTTTTTGCAGTAGACGTTGTTCTGCTCATGTGCCTAAAATATTTTGTAGGAATTAGATATTTGGAAATGATGAACATGAAATGCTGCATTTTGAAAACCATACATTCCTTCCTACACTGTACATATTTAAGGGTCATTGCACTCTCTTTGCTATGACTGCGAAAACTACAATGATGACCACTTGAAAAATTAGAGGTTTGAGTTGATCATTGATGAATCAATTCTCTCTGTATCCATTTGTAGTAGATTTCCCTTCTGTAGCTATGCTGTCTGGTCAATGTAAGAACAAAAAAGGGAAACACCAAAATAATCAAGTCAACTGTTATGCTTTTGTTTTTCTTTTTCCTTTTTTTTCTTAGTGCAGATGGATTTGAGGTGAAAATTAGATGAAATAGAGCAAATGTGCAGATCCTGCATAATTTTCACAATGTGGAAAAGCTCATTAAACAGAAAGTAACCTTTAAAATATCCTAATAGAGCTCCAACATAACAGAATAGTCTTTTTTTATTATTTTTGAGGTTGATTTATTGGGCTGCATTTGCAGTTTATTCTTAATTTAGGATTTTTTTTTTTCAGGATTCATAGAAGATATCAATGAGCCATTTGGTGAATATCGAAAAAACATAAATAAATAAATGTTTCTGTATGGCACTGGCCAAACTGCAGTGATAGCAAGTCAAAAACTATATCTTGATGTTAACAATTCCTCTTGATTTAAAGTGCATTGATAGAAACATTTGCACAAGAATATAAATTAGAGGTTGATAGATATTTATTTATAAAGTGGTTTATAAATATTTACACAAAATACTGTATATGGGAATAATATATGTAAAGTGTGAGTACCTTGTTTTTACTCTGCTGTGACCCTCACCTTTCAAAAAGAGATAAAACAAGGCATTGTTCATGCATCTATTTGTGTTAAAAACTATAGGCTGCTGATGTCTTGAGTAGAAGGTGAGTTTGTTAAATTACACAATATATATTTTTTTATTTTGAAACTGTGTCAAAGGCTATGGTTTTGTTGTTGCCGCCAAACCAAATAAAGGTTAAAATAGTTGACGTACACACTCCATATTGTTGCCGTTGTTTGTTTTGTTGTTATGTTTATGTTTGCATAGATCTCCTCCACAGTTATGGATACTTTTAGGTCTCTTTTTTGTGCTTTATGTTGAATATTGTTGGATTTCACGTAATTTGTTATTAGGCAGAAGATGCACATTTCAGTTCAATTCAGTTTATTTATATAGCGCCGGTTCAAAGCACGTCATCTGAAGGAACTTTCCAGACTATTCACTAGATCATGCAGTCAGATTGGTTTAAAGTTTTCTATCTAAATTAAACCAGCTGATTGCATCAACATTTCAGCTTTTTTTTTAATAGATATTTCTATCTGGACCTCTCAATAATCAGAGTCTTCAATAAATTAAAAACTGAATCGTTTGTCTTGAGCAAATTTGAAGCCACAAAATTAAGATTAGTCACTTTGCTATAGATGGTACAACCATTTTGATTGTCCTCAAAAGAAAATGGCATTTTGGGGTTTGAGAAATCAGTCTTCTAGTTGGGATACAGAAAACTTCTACTGCATTATGGGTAGTTTCAGTGAAGCAACTTACTTTCTTTATGTTAAGTGGAGTCGCCATTGCTGTCTTTGTTGAGCTGGAAGACGATCTCCTCTGGGTCTCCATCTTTAATATAACGCTTCCCACCTTGTCTCTGCTACACTACCCGGCAGGTAGTAACGATTTTTTGCTAGATTAAAACAATGCAAGATTAAAGCAATTCAACATGGATGGGCTTGACATCACATCTGCTGAACAGCGTGGGAACTTCGGACCTGAAGTAAATTCAGGGAAAGGCTGCAGGCTTATAGATGCATGGGCGTTGAACCACTGAGGTTTCAGTCTGCTCATCAAACAATGTTTTAGTCGTAAAGGGTCAAAAACAAGGATATATTCAGTAAAAACATACATAATGTCTCTTTAAGATTTGTGGGAGTTTTTCTGCCAGAGTCTATTTAAAAATGTGTCAGGATGGATTTTGACACTTAGAAAGTCACAAAAACAAAGTCTCAAAATTTCTTTCTATTTAAATGCAAATTGTAGGAACGTTTACTGTTTACAGAGTAGTGATCAGTATGATGATTATTATTATAGTATATATTTCTTTTTCTCCAAGTGGTGCAGATTCAAAGGAAAAATAGAAGCCATGTTATGTCCATCACCAAATCATGTGTGGTTGAATCCTTTCCTTTCGACCTAAAGTGAGAAATCAAATGTCTGGTAAACATGCAGCTAAAATAGGAAGGCTTTTCGAGCGATAGAAAAACAAATTTTAAGGTTTTTAAATTATGCCAAATGTTATTATTCTTACTAAAAAGAGAAACATCTTGATTGTATTTTTCTGTATCTAGAGATGATGGTTTTTTGGAACAGTGTCTGTATTTTTGTCCAACAGACAGCATTGCAGTCACAGTTACCATTCAGCCAACCCAAAATGAGCAGCTCACAATCCAAGCCAGTTCACTATTCACAGCCAAGACTATATTAGGAATTCCCTTTCATTTCCACAAATGGCTGCAATCGACTAAGTTTTTCTTCCCGTTCCGTCCTGCCACTCTCCTCCTTCCGCCCTTATTGAGAAAGGACCACCTGACCCTCAGTAGAGGTGGGGAAATCATAATTGGAGAGGAAGCCAGTTCCTCTCTCGGATTGCTGATGGTGGAGCCTTGCGGCAGTTACCAAAAGCCTTTGATGGTGTAACGAGGACACACTCATACACCCCCTCACCAAGTCTCTCATACATCTTGCATGACTCTTTGAGTATGTGGGCTGCAGACTGTGGTTTGATAGCTGACAGGTGTGTCCTTTAAAATGGCTCCGAACAACGTTTACAATAGAAGCTAT